GTCTCACAAAAAAACGTGTAATAGCTACGTTGGTCCACCGGGCAAAACGTAGTATATTCACAAATAACCCTCTCAAGACGTGACATGGATACAATATTTTGTTAAAAAAAAACATGAAGCTCAAATAATCTTCGTAATATCTCTCAAACTATGGATCCTATACATCCATAAAAGTACAATATAAACTTCTCGCTAGAAATGTAATCAAAAAGCATTTTAACGGCCAAACTATCCTACAATTTAGGATTTTCCACTCAAAATAAATCGGGTGTTTTTTCTCAGTGGGAAAGTTTGTGATCACGTGACACGGACACCGGTCATTAGAAATGAATAGGAAACTATATTGTATCCATGTCACGTCTTGAGAGGGTTATTTGTGAATATACTACGTTTTGCCCTGTGGACAAACGTCGCTATTACACATTTTTTTGTGAGACTGGGTTGGTAATGACTAAGTTGAGCTAAAGAAAAAGAAACCAACTGCAGCTTTTTGTTTAAATAAGGCAAGAAACCGAGTGCAATGCACACATTAAAGCACATTGTACACTATGACAAAATGCTGCAATTCGCTGTCGAGTGATGAAAAAAACAATGGAATTTCTCCATTGGATTTTGGTATATTGCAGAAAATAAGCTCTGTGGCTACTAAACATGTTTCGTTTAACTGGAACATCTCCACATATTAAGATAAGATAAGATAAGTTGTACTTTATTGATCCCAATTTGGGAAATCTTTGCAAAAATACAAGGCATAAGAGAAATTCAAAGCGTAGAAACAAGCTATTCTAAAATGTGAACATCTCAAAATAGAAATAAAACAGTGTGAGGAATGGAATATTAAGGTAAATGTAAGTGTAAAAAGTACATTGTGAGTTTAGGTCCAGTTATCCAAGAGAAGCTATGGAGCGCACAAGCTTCTCACACCACTTTCTGATTTGTTTAAGCGTAAATGCAATTGCCAGAAGTAAGTCATTTACCCTTTTTCTGGGTAAATCTTGCTAATAATCTGGTTTAAAATCTTGTAAATAGATGTTTGGGTCACAGTACGTACAGAGATGATTTGCTCACCAAGCCGTGGGAATTGTAGTCTTTTATACTCTGTTGACTACAGACGTCACGCAGAGTTTCCGTTCCAATTTTTTTTTGCCGGTCAAAATGTCCGTTAAAGTTTAAATCTTCCGGACAAAATGAGAAAAGTGCCGGTCAAAGGTCTTCTTTGTTATTTATTGAGCTTTAAAACAAATTGATATGATTCAATATTAAACAAACTAATTATAGTAGATTAAATACATTATTCAAAAGTGTACAATAACACGGGAATAATAGACAGCCCTCCAGTATCATGCAGCTCGCAGATCCAGTAATGAGTGACCCGACAGTAAAACTAAACATATCTATAACTAGTTTAGGTAGTTTGAGAGGTCATTAAAATAGCTACGTGTGATGTTCTAACCTGAAGTGTGTGTTTTGTTCCGCTCACCGCTGCAGGTGATCGTGCAGAGCTGCGTGTCGACTCGTCAGCAGCAGCTGATCTCTCTCTCCCGTCAGATTAGACTTTACTCGCGTTTATGTCCATATCGATCAGATCTAACTGGTTCTAGCTAATGATATGACTACCTGCTTATCAAGACACCTAAACAATAAGCGTCGCTATGCAACCGGGTGAGGCCACAAAGTATAGCGCAGCATTATGCATTTGTTTACATGCCCACCGGAACCCCGAGACATTAGAATTGACTATTCTTGTCTGTCACATACTATTCTTGTCTGTCACAGACTCTTCTTGTCTGTCACATACTATTCTTGTCTGTCACATACTCTTCTTGTCTGTCACATACTATTCTTGTCTGTCACATACTCTTCTTGTCTGTCACATACTCTTCTTGTCTGTCACATACCCTTCTTGTCTGTCACATACTCTTCTTGTCTGTCACATACTATTCTTGTCTGTCACATACCCTTCTTGTCTGTCACATACTCTTCTTGTCTGTCACATACTCTTCTCGTCTGTCACATACTCTTCTCGTCTGTCACATACTATTCTCGTCTGTCACAGACTCTTCTCGTCTGTCACAGACTCTTCTCGTCTGTCACATACTATTCTCGTCTGTCACATACTCTTCTCGTCTGTCACATACTCTTCTCGTCTGTCACATACTATTCTCGTCTGTCACAGACTCTTCTCGTCTGTCACAGACTCTTCTCGTCTGTCACGTACTCTTCTCGTCTGTCACGTACTCTTCTCGTCTGTCACGTACTCTTCTCGTCTGTCACGTACTCTTCTCGTCTGTCACGTACTCTTCTCGTCTGTCACGTACTCTTCTCGTCTGTCACGTACTCTTCTCGTCTGTCACGTACTCTTCTCGTCTGTCACGTACTCTTCTCGTCTGTCACATACTATTCTTGTCTGTCATAGAAGTGGCGCAACTGATGCGGTATTGCGCTAAGGGGAAATTATTTTGACCGGACATTTTGACCGGAGAGATTTAGATTTGCCGGTCTTCAGCATATTTTACTGGTCAAAGTCCGGTAATTACCGGCTAACGGAAACTCTGACGTCACGGTTAGGTGGCCTTTCTCATAAAAACTCAATAACACTGGCTCTAACACTGGCACATATTAAGGTCTGATAGCAGCTTCATCCCTCAATAGTCCATTGTTTAATTTCTCTCTCCATTAAACGGCCACTTTGACAATGAAAGGAGTTGTCTTTCTGCAGGGAGGAGGAGGAGGCGGAGGAGGAGGAGGAGGCGGAGGCGGAGGAGGAGAAGCGCCTTCAGACTATAAATAGCAGGGATTGGGGTTAACGGGAGGGTTTTGGGGTTTGGATTGACGTCATGTTGGAGAAACGGTTCCAATCCTTTTCATCACTGTCCTCTGCTTTCTCCTTTCCCTTGGTCCTGTCTTCTGTTCTCTCTCTCTCCTCTCTCTGAATGATGTCCTTCTTACATGTGCATATTGTAGTGAATCACATGCAACAATAAATGCGTAAAATGTTATATATAACTGTACATATTACAATGAAGGCAGTGGTGTATTAGTAATAATGCAGATAAGAATAAGGAAAACCAGAGTATTGCTCAAATGTGCTGTACCTCTCAGTTCTTGTGGATCCTGACAGAATGTAGAACATGGAAGATGCACATGTTGGCCGGTATCACCATGCATGGATTACTGAACAGGCAAACCGTGTTAGAAAGCTGTGGGTATTTGACAAATAAACAAAGGGATGAAGAGCCTTTTCACGTCTGAGGCAACCTCTGGTTTAGACAAATCAAATCAAACTATAAAATACCAGTGTTTTAAGTTTTCAAGCCCTGCTTATTTGTTGGTATTGCTGTCAATTGGAATAGATCATATGAAAAATGTTCCCTTTTGTTCATACCTGATCTACATATTGAAGTGAAAGGGCCTTACTCTGTTCATTTGAGGTGTATATCAGTATGTAGTGTCTCTACTTTAAAGAGTCCTCTCCTGCTGATGTTCAGGTGTATATCAGTATGTAGTGTCTCTACTTTAAAGACTCCTCTCCTGCTGATGTTCAGGTGTATATCAGTATGTAGTGTCTCTACTTTAAAGAGTCCTCTCCTGCTGATGTTCATGTGTGTATCAGTATGTAGTATCTCTACTTTAAAGAGTCCTCTCCTGCTGATGTTCAGGTGTATATCAGTATGTAGTGTCTCTACTTTAAAGAGTCCTCTCCTGCTGATGTTCAGGTGTATATCAGTGTGTAGTGTCTCTACTTTAAAGAGTCCTCTCCTGCTGATGTTCATGTGTGTATCAGTATGTAGTATCTCTACTTTAAAGAGTCCTCTCCTGCTGATGTTCAGGTGTATATCAGTGTGTAGTGTCTCTACTTTAAAGAGTCCTCTCCTGCTGATGTTCAGGTGTATATCAGTATGTAGTGTCTCTACTTTAAAGAGTCCTCTCCTGCTGATGTTCAGGTGTATATCAGTATGTAGTGTCTCTACTTTAAAGAGTCCTCTCCTGCTGATGTTCAGGTGTATATCAGTATGTAATGTCTCTACTTTAAAGAGTCCTCTCCAGCTGATGTTCAGGTGTATATCAGTATGTAGTGTCTCTACTTTAAAGAGTCCTCTCCTGCTGATGTTCAGGTGTATATCAGTATGTAGTGTCTCTACTTTAAAGAGTCCTCTCCTGCTGATGTTCAGGTGTTTATCAGTATGTAGTGTCTCTACTTTAAAGAGTCCTCTCCTGCTGATGTTCAGGTGTACATTTCCTGAATAGTCCGAATTCTGAAATGTTCAGAAAAAAGTCATTATGTTGAGATGTTTCCGTTAGTTTTCCCTCCCTTTCCCAATTTGATTTTCATGAAGGTAAAAAATTTTCGTAACAATTTGACTTTATTTATAATATTATTAAAAATTATATGATAATGTTAAGAGGTTATATCTGTAATCTTAAAATGAAATTTTGTAGAAGATGTAAAGATGTTCTGAGGATGGTGGGTGGTTGTGTGTGTGTGTGTCGTGTGTGGGTGTGTGTGTGTGTGTGTGTGTGTGTGTGTGTGTGTGTGTGTGTGTGTGTGTGTGTGTGTGTGTAGTGTGTGTGGTGTGTTGTGTGGTCGTGTGTGTGTGTGTGTGTGTGTGATGTGTGTGTGTGTGTGTGGTGTGTGTGTGTGTGTGTGTGTGTGTGTGTGTGTGTGTGTGTGGTGTGGTGTGGGTGTGTGTGTGTGTGTGTGTGTGTGTGTGGTGTGTGTGTGTGTGTGTGTGTGTGATAGCAGATGTAAGTAATAGCTGAGTTGAGCTCGAGGCTAAAATCTGTCCTCCATCTGTCGCTCACCCTCAAACCTCGTGAACATCTCAACTCTGTGGCTTCAGACTGAAGTTCAAGTTACTTTTCTAACATCAGCACTGGGATGTTTCTTCTTGTTTCCTCCTCTGCATTACCTCATTATATCCGTCTATCTGTAACGGCTGCAGCCTAGTTAACATTTTATTATATCAGAGTTGTATTAACGATGATCTTCTGCCCTTCAGCCACCTGGATAACCACCACCTGTGGGACCCCAATGAGTTTGCTGTGTCCTGCTTCAGGATCATCATGTACTCCATCCAGGTACAGTACTCTCAAGAAACCCAACTCTACATGCAATGGGTTCAAAAGAATATCTCTGTGGGACGAACAAAAGTATTCTGCAGGATAAAGACCAAGATGGTACTTATTTTTGTGAATGCACATTAAAAAAGGACCTAATATAAGACTCTTAAACTACCATTGTTTTGTAAAATAGCAATCGTGTTAAATTCTGACTTTGCACAGATGTTTTGAATCACGTGATTGTTGATTTTAGGCAATGAGGTTGGGGATGAATACATTAAGCGTGCATTCATGTTAATATCTCATAACATGGACAGAAAGACTTAATGCTGTCTCTCTGAAAGAAATGTATTTCGAGAGATGATCTCCCGTTGTATTTTCCTTTGCAAAAAATACTGTGGACATTTTATTGGATGAATCGGGCAAAATGTTAAGTATTTACAGTATAGCTTTTGTATTTCTTTGTGTTTGTACTGTTAAAAACATATTTTACCGATATTAATTGTGTTTTAAGTATGATATTTAATACTCTATTACTCATTTTATTCACAGATTGTCCATTTTTAGAACATGTACCCAGTCCCGTAGCAGGCCTCTCATGTAATTGGTCCCTTGTGAACATGTGACTGAATGTGAGCGACAGCCTGCTGGCTTTGTGCTCCCTTCCCAGTTTAAATATTTGCAGGAATAATTAGCATCTGATTAGCATTGTGATTCTGAGCATCTGACAGTCTGGGCCGTCACATTTCCTCTCTAATAATCAGAGATGGCAAAAGTACACACCTCCTTTACTCAAGTAGAAGTACAGATACTCGTGTTTAAAAATACTCTGGTGAGAGTAGAAGTACTGACTAAACTTCTTTACTCAAGTCAAAGTAAAGAGGGCTTTGAAATGTACTTCAGTAAAAAGTACCCATAACTAGCAGCTGTTTTAAAGAGTACCTGACCTCCCTTTATATTAATAGAACAATAATGTCATTGTTAGCTAATGAATGTTTCCATGCTGAACAACGGCAACATGACAACGTTTTCATTGGTCCCTCTTCTTTAGAGAAGACCAGGAAATGATGGATACACGGATCGTGTTCAAATCAATAGGCACGCAATGACTCTAAATAATAATGATCACGCCACCAAACACACATTCAAACTAAAGGAACCAGCCTGTTTGGGAAATGTGAGAAGTAGAAAGTACAGGTATTTGGGTTCAACATGTGAGAAGTAGAAAGTACAGGTATTTGTGTTCAACATGTAAGAAGTAGAAAGTACAGGTATTTGGGTTCAACATGTAAGAAGTAGAAAGTACAGGTATTTGGGTTCAACATGTAAGAAGTAGAAAGTACAGGTATTTGTGTTCAACATGTAAGAAGTAGAAAGTACAGGTATTTGGGTTCAACATGTAAGAAGTAGAAAGTACAGGTATTTGTGTTCAACATGTAAGAAGTAGAAAGTACAGGTATTTGTGTTCAACATGTAAGAAGTAGAAAGTACAGGTATTTGAGTTCAACATGTAAGAAGTAGAAAGTACAGGTATTTGTGTTCAACATGTAACAAGTAGAAAGTACAGGTATTTGTGTTCAACATGTAACAAGTAGAAAGTACAGGTATTTGTGTTCAACATGTAAGAAGTAGAAAGTTCAGGTATTTGAGTTCAACATGTACGAAGTAGAAAGTACAGGTATTTGTGTTCAAAATGTAAGAAGTAGAAAGTACAGGTATTTGTGTTCAAAATGTAAGAAGTAGAAAGTACAGGTATTTGTGTTCAAAATGTAAGAAGTCAAAGTAAAAAGTCGTCAGAAGAATAAGTAGTGGAGTAAAGTACTGATACCAGAAAAATGTACTTAAGTACAGTAACGAAGTATTTGTACTCCAATACTTCATCATGGTTTATTAGAGAGGAAATGTGACGGCCCAGACTGTCAGATGCTCAGAATCACAATGCTAATCAGATGCTAATTATTCCTGCAAATATTTAAACTGGGAAGGGAGCACAAAGCCAGCAGGCTGTCGCTCACATTCAGTCACATGTTCACAAGGGACCAATTACATGAGAGGCCTGCTACGGGACTGGGTACAGTACATGTTCTAAAAATTGACAATCTGTTTAACATTCACAATAAATCAATGTTAAAAAGATTGTAATTCCTACACTTTTCTGAATATGTAGGAATTGTTACTTTTTTCTCAAAATACTTACTTTATTCAGAAAATCCAAAATGTCTGACATTTTTCTGAACATTTTAGAATTCAGCCTTTTTCTCGGAATTCTGATTTTTTTCGGAAAATCTAAAAGTTCTTACTTTTTTTCAGAAAATTACAGAACTCTAACTTTTTCTTTTTAATTATGACTTTTTTTCAGAAATTATGACTTTTCTGTAGAAATTAAGAATTATTACTTTTTCTCAAAAGTCTGACTTTTTTCAGAAACTTCTGACTTTTTTCAGAAAATTAAAATAGGTGACTTTTTTCAGAAAATCTCAGACTTACAATTTAAAAAAAAGTCATAATCACACATGTTCACAATGGACCAGAGTCCTGTTTTGGGACTGGGTAAATATTCTGTCTAACATTGACAATAAATCTCATACTTAAAGGTGGGGTAGGTAAGTTTGAGAAACCGGCTGACAGGCAGGTAGGCCATCCAGTTATTTTAGCCGGGCCGGCTCAGATGATTGGTCGTGCTTTTTACAGTACTACAGCTTCCACAGATGAGATTTCTTTATGGATTTTTTGTCAAAGCACTTCAGATATTCATTGCTACCGGGATGTTAAGAGCATTCCATGGAATATAACAACAAGTGTATCTCGAGCTGGTTTCTCAAACTTACCTACCCCACCTTTAACACACAATTCATGTCGATATAAGATGTACTGAGTAGTGGAGTTATGGCAGGAAATGAGCTCCTCCTCATGTCTCTCTGTGTTTTTGTCCCGCTCCAGGCTCAGCACTCGCACCACGTGATCCAGCAGGTTCTGAACCACCTGGACACCAACAACAAGAACACGCCGCGGGTCAGAGCCGGCATCGTGCAGGTTCTGCTGGAGACCGTGGCCATCGCCGCTAAAGGATCCGTGGGTGAGATTAGAGGAAGACTGTTATGGGGTCTTGATTGTATTGTTTTTTTCCAAGCTAGAGGGTGTAGACGTTGTTAAAATGGGGAAGTGCTCTTTATACGTCCACCAAGCAATCATGCAGAACTTCGTTGATGCGGAACTGGGCGTGGTTAAATCTAAACTGAGTTGGATAGCCGCCGCCGGACAGCGCAAAATGTTAGATTGTTGCGCTACGATGTAAACGCAAAATGAAGCAGACATCTGATTGGCTACAGACACTTTAAAAAAATGCAATTGCGAATCTAGTAGCATCAGGAAAGTCTCAAAACTCCACACACAAATGCAGAGAGACTCACACACTAAAAGCGTGATATGATAATAGAGAAAAATATTTATATAAATCCCAGATTACATTTGTGTATCCTTCGGTGAGCATTTATTTATTTTGAGACTGATCTGACCCCACTATTCCCACTGCTGGAAATACTCACAATATCGTCATTAGATTATTTTTCGGCGTTTGTATAGTGGAAAGAGAAAAACAGGAGGCATGCAGCAACTGGTCCGACATCTCAGAATCAAACTGGGCTTGTAATACTAATATGGCGCCCAATGTACGATATGGAACAAATAACTAATATCAATTAAAAGTTTTTTAAGTCCGTTGAATATGATTTGAAGGCCGGGACATCTCTGAAGCCCCACACTACTTCATTCAGAAGATTATTAACACATTTTGCCTGTAAAGAAATGAGCGTTTACCACATTTCGCTCATTGCAACAGCCCATAATGCAATATTGGTTACATGTTGATGAATTGCCCCAACCTGAACCACTTCCTGTCCGTCTAACTATCCTTTCTAACCTCCAACAACTCTCTGCACACCTTTATCCAACGCAACACAATGCGTTTGTATATGTAATTGCCTACTAATTGAATAATCATGAATTCAAACCCCCTTGAGACGAGAACAATACAATAATGTGGTTCCCTGTAGGCATCCCATTGATTTAAAAACACTTTATGTATTGAGTTGTATTTACCTGAATGAATTCACATCATGCCGCCTGGACAGGGATGATTCAAGAGACCAAAGAAGGGGAAGGGTTTGGATTTGAAAGTGAAATCAGGATGCCTCCAAATCTGTGGCTCGGTACAGTATGAGTGTGGTTTTTATTGTGTAGAGAAGTCCCCACACACACACACACACACACACACACACACACACACACACACACACACACACACACACACACACACACACACACACACACACACACACACACACACACACACACAAGAAGGGGACGTTTTTAATGTAGATTAGGACGTGGTTCTTAGTCACAAAATGTGTGTTTTA